CTTTACAAATCCTACCATGTGGATTCATGGATTTTTTTTTCACATTCTGTCTCTCACAGTTGAAGTGTACCTCTGGTGCAAATTACTGACCTCTGTCGTCATTTTAGGTGGGGGAACTTGCACAATCAGTGGCTGACTAAATACTTTTTTGCCCCACTGTATAACTCCTCGGGTATAACGACAGCATACAGCTCACAAACCACATGTGCAGCAACATTATTTTGTGCATTTTTTCGTGGACAATCCCGACACTGCAACTGTGCAGAGTGGAAATGCTATAGTCATTTCCTGCATATCGGTAGCTTAAATTTTTAACTTATAGAAAAAAATAATTAGATTGTGGAGCAGATCTACCATTCAAGTTCTCACTTGAAAAGGTCATCCATGCTCTCATTTCAGACTTCACTACAATAATGCACTTTACACCAACCATCAGTTACTATAAAATGTACAGGCTAGAGTTAATTAAAAATTTAGCTGCCAAGCTTTAAAAACATAGCAAAAGGAGTGATTTTCTTGTTGGCTTTTAAAGCTCTACGCTCCTATCAGGCTCCTGCTTCACATCTGCAAGTTGCCGAGCTTATAAGTGGAATTAAACACTAATATTAAAAAACACTAAACTATGTTGAAAAAGGTTTACACTGTGAAAGCAGTATCATATTTCCAGGGACACACACATTCAAGAAAAAAGGCAATTAATTTCTTTCCTATTCTTTTGAGAGCTTCAAATAAAAAAATATGGAGGAAAACCATAAACGTGACACCCCACACCAGTTTTATTTTCTCTTCATTATTGTTACTGCGACAAAGGAGCCATATTGCAAAAGGACAGCACCCCATTTTCACCCTGCATTTGCTACCAATACCCTTTTCTTTGTAGATGAGTCATCGTTCTTTGATCTGAATGGGAGGAGGATTAAAATCAAGAGAAAAGGATTGAGCGTAGGGGACACAAGCACAAGTCTAACAGATGGAGACAAACACCGAGAGCAAAGACAACAGAAAAAAGGCGCGGGAGATGAAAGAGCATGAAGAGAAGAAAAAAAATGGACAGCTTAGCTGGACAGAAAGCAGAGGCCTCCAGCAGTGCCTTAAAACTGAGATAATACTGAAAGGAAGTTATAGTTATGGATCCACTTGAAGAAAGAGGCTTTTACTTGAATCTTGAAAGTGTTTCCACCTGATGAGTGCTGGCTTAATCCTACATTTCCATTACACAGTAAAGCACAAGAAATATCAATAGTTGCAAGAAAAATACTTGCGGTCTGGCAGTTTTAAACTTACTTTCAAAATCGTCTTTCTCATGGTTTGAGAGAGTGGCGAAGCTCGTCTTTCCGTGGTCAACAATCGCCTCCTCATCTAGACCCTGACAAAAAAAAAAAGAAGAGGTAAGAAGCTAAAAGAGGATTGATGGTTTGCATAAGAAAAAATTTGTATTTTCACATTATTTTCCCATTTTTTATGATTTTTTTTAGAAAACTCGACCCTAAAAGCTTTTATGCTTTGATAGATGATCAAGGGACACCTTGATCACTCTGCAGGGGTTTAAAGCAGAAATAACAATGTCAGAAAATCACCTGTGAGGTGGGTGAACAAGTTGTTTTTGGATTTGTATATATACCCCATAGTCAATAATGCTGCAGCTTTGCATTTAAGCTCATAAGTACAACAAGCTTTTTGGTTTTACACACAGCTAATAGCTCATTTCCAGACCACTTAACATGGCAGTCAAGAGAATTAACTTTGCCAATGATCTGCACAAAAGTGCAATTACGGGCACTTAATGAGCAGTAGACAGATAACACATCTTATTTTCCCTCAATGAAATAACATAGTCAAACAGGTTAAATTTAGACCAAGTCTTTAACAACCCTGTCCACTGTATAATGCAGGACGGTATCACTTGCTGTTTTATTATCTATGTGCCATTTTCCTCAAACTAATTAGTCTGTATTGTACTATATATTAATTGTTGTAGTCCATGCAATTAAGGTTATGGTTCACAGCAACATCAAGAGGCTGGCTGGAGTCATTTAAATTAAAAAAAAAAAAAAAGAGAGAGAACATGACCTTAGTGAACATAATTAGCTTGATATCACTAGCATGGACACATCTAGAGATAAGGAGTTTGCAACAGTGAGGACATAAAGCTGTCAGGACACATAAAAACAAAGCCACATATCATTAACATTTCTTTATCAAATAATAGCACCCATAAAATCAGTATTACAGCACAGCAGCACACATTATCACACATGTGCAATACTGGTGAGGACACAACTGCCCCATTGATCGCCCAGAGCATTAATCATTTACCAGTATAGGCATAACCTGAACCTTCAACGTGAAGGCAGCCCAATCTTTACACTAACTTTAAACCAAACCGCACCTCAAAAAATGCGAAATGCTCTCGCAAGTGCACAGGTGTAACGAGACAAATTCACACCTAAATAGACAAAAACAACAGACTTGAGAGATGCTTTGCTGGAAAAAGTCTGGGTGTGTCTAACACTGGAAAATACCAGGTGACACACATTGTACTGAGGCAACAACCACAACAATAAGGGGGGGGGGGGGGGGGAGCAATTTGTCAATTGATTCTCAAATCAAATCCCCAGAGTCACTGTGAATCTATTCGGCAAATCAAACTAGGCAGATCAATTTACTTTAACCATTACACCTCTGAGACACTGCATTTGTGAAGGGGGCACCTCCGACAATTTTAACTTCAGCTTATTTGCAAGGGAGAAAATCAACAGAAGATGGGGTTGTCCCGTCATAACAGGAAAATATTACATTTTACATAAAACATTACATAAATATTACATTTAAGGCTATTAAATAGCTGATTTAAATTTAACAATAGATATAAAAAGACTTCAACATCACAATGTGGCACAGGTTCCTGAGTGCTGTTGTATGTGTCAACTCACTGAGTGAGAGGTGAAAGTAAGAAAGAGCAGCTTCTGTCAGTGGTTTGACGTTACGTAAAGCAAATATTGAAACGGTTTCAAACACTTTCAATCAGTTTCACTTTTGACAAAACTAACATTAACTATAAAAAGGTATCGTGATCAGGAAGGAACAGCTTTTTTTTAGCCAGACATGCATATAGACTCAAAGAGTGAGCTAATCCTAGCTCTGACTGTCAGGCTGATACAAAACAGAGATACCCAGTATTAGGTCTGAGATAAACCAATCCTTGTAGCTAGGGTAATATATTTTCTTCCAGGTTTTTTATACAAATAAGGTTGAGAAAAGGATGAAGACTATAGCAACCAAAAATCTTAAGTTAATCTAATTCCTTATTATATTTGTAATATAATTATTTTTCGGCGACTTCACAAATATGTGACCTTCAGTATCTTATGTAAGTCACGCATAACAAGAAAACATTTCAACAAATACAAATCATCTGCTCTCATGCCTTAAGGACAAACACTTTGACGCAATACAATTCCCAATTGGAGGAGCCCGTCAACCCCTTCAGCCAATCACAGAGAGGCACAGCTGCCATGCAGGAGTGAGTGGAAACAAAAGGTGATGCTAGACATATGCTGGAAAGATACACGACACCTGAATGATATCACGGCCTTGTGTGCCACAGCATCTCAGTCATCTCTGCTATTCACACTTAGTTTCTTTCATTTTGATGGAAAGCACATACTCTTCTGCTCTCCCTCGTCCGTTATTGGCCTACTTGTATGAATGCGTCTTTAATGACATTCAGATATCGACACACATTTCCACCTACAATGAATGATGCCATCTGTGACTGAGCTTGTGTGAGCACTTATAAGTTTGGGAGCTTGCGTGTTTCTCAGTTGTTGGTGAATTTATATGATAATGAGGCACACTGCTCTCTGGCAGTGCCTTGATGGGGAGCAGTAATGATTCAGCGTAGGGAGAAGCACAGCAAGAAATTAATCTGTGTCTCTCTAGTAACTGCTGTTCTTTCCAAACAGCACAGCATGAAGGTTCAGTAAAAGTGACCAACAGTGACTAAACTGGAACGGGTTTCTCCTTGTCATTCGTGATCAAAAAGTGCCAAGAAATATAACTAAGTGGGTGCCACACATCCAAGACGGAAGTTTGGCATTTAGTTGTTGACATCCTGTTTTTATATTTGTTTGTTTTATTCAGATGTGACTATTTGGAGGAAAAAGTACAGCTAAGGAGATTAGCTAATGCTAGCTGGCCTAGACAAGTTGCATCTATAATTCATTGTGATATTAAATGGAAGGCTGATTTTGGATAGCAAAAAGCAGGCTAAATATATGTACCCAATACCTCTTGGAGAAATTGGACAGCTAACTGTTTTTTCGCCAGGTGCAGAAAACCCCCAACTGGGAGCCGTGGGTGAGGCACTTTGATATTCTTTACCATGGCAACCAACCAAACTAAGGTGTTGCAAATATCTGATCAGCCAGGAGCAAAGACAATGATCCTCCAAGCATTATTTTTCTTATCAGTATTATCTTGTCTGCGGATATCATTTGTTACAGGTATGGACACTAGAGAGTAGCCATATCCAATTCTCCCATATTGTTATTGTCCCATACTGTAACATCTAGTCCTTTTACTGAATCAGAACTCTGGGGTGATCCAGTGACCGCTGCGAAAGAGCAGCTGACAATCAGGGAAAGACCAGATGACAGACTGGAAAGACTGCTGACAGGAGGGAATAGACCCTAATGGGGCTGGTGTGGGTTAGCACCTCATACCAGCAGGACCCAGCGCTTTTTAGCATACTTGGGTACACCCAATATTGCTACAGAAATCTCAAAGGAAAAGATACCCCTAGGGTCTGCCTTTCCGTATGGATTTAATGGCAATGAACCATGGAACGTAACCAATGATCAGCCAGCATTGCAAATAATGGACCATCAATGGAAAGGAAAGAATTCTGCAGAACTGCATTTGTGACTGGTCAAAACTAACAACTGACATGGGCCTTAAAATCCACCAAGGCAGGAAGAAGTAACTCAGCGAGCTGAGAAAGTGGTCTTGCATTGACACATACTTTTTAAGAAGTAAGTCAAATTGAAGTCCAGAGGCAGGAGAATCCCCACAGTCCTTAGGGTATCAGCACCCCGTTCGAAGTTCATTGTCATACAGACCCCCCCAATAGTCTCCTGATTGGAATTCAGTCAAATCCAGCCAATAGCAGTTCCGAAACGAGCTTAGCCAGCCACACCCAATATTAGATTCTAGCACAGGGCCCGGCCATTTAATATCAGCCCCTAGCTTAGAGTTTAGCCACCAACAGCTAGCAACACATTTGTGTACAGATGTAAGCCAGCCACAATCAACACCATGTTCCAGCCCAGAGCTCATCCAGAAGCAGCCAACAGAATCTTCGAACACTGAGTCTAGCCAAGCACTGCCAGCAAGGGAAAGGAAGATGGAAGGTAGGAAAGATCAGATTATGTGGCCCAGATCCAGTGAGAAAAGAAAGTGGGAAACCATTGACTCGGAACTGGCTCTTATACTAGATGAACAAATGGGTCCAGTTTAAAGGAAGTTGGAGAACCTGGGAACCATCATCTACAGCTATGGGGCCGAGCGATTTGGGGTAAAGAACAAGACTCAGAGACAGCAGAAAGGCCCTTTAAACCAGGTAAAATCCAGGAGACAGTAGGAAATTGACAGATTAGTGAAAGAGAGAAGACAACTGAGGAAACAATGGAGGAGGGCCTATGAGACAGAAAGGGAGGAACTCACTGCCCTGCAGGAGGAAATAAGGCAACAACTTACTAAGCTGCGAAGAGCAGAACACCTCACACCCATACAACTTTGTTAAGGGCCTTTTTGTCGAAGAGAAGAGCGGGTGCCTCAAAATGCCCATAAAAGACCTGGAAGATCATCTGAGGAAAACTTACTCTGAGGATTGGAGGCATGAGCCAGTTACCATTCCAAGTGATATGCCGCCTATCCAGGCACCTGAACACCAAATGGACATAAGACCGCCTACATGGAGTAAAGTGGAGAAGGTAGTGAAGCAGGCAAGAGCAGCATCAGCCCCAGGACCTAATGGCATCTCATATAGGCTAAATAAAAACACCCCACAAGTTCTCAAATACCTGTGGAAGCTGATGAAGGTAGTGTGGCAGAAAGGAGTGATTCCAAAGGCTTGGCGAAAAGCAAGAGGTATTCTGATCCCTAAGGAGAAGAACTCCTCATCCATCAGCCAGTTTTGCAGATCAGCCTGCAGAACTTAGAGGGAAAGATCTTCAGTGTCTTGGCCCAAAGATTATCTACTTTCCTACAAAGAAACAACTACAGGGAGTGCAGAATTATTAGGCAAATGAGTATTTTGTCCACATCATCCTCTTCATGCATGTTGTCTTACTCTAAGCTGTATAG